TCGTCGTACAGCAACCACTGTCGTACAGCAAGGACCGCCGTCGTACAGCAAACAATTAGTTGCTGCCCTTAGTTTTCCTAAGGATGCTGGCTAGGCGACCAGTCACGGATTGGTTCAGTGTAGAGCCGGCGGTGAGGTGAGTTGTTGCGGCCGGGCGACGGGGAACGGTATGGTCGTCGTTCTTGCCACCGTGCTCTGGTGATGTAATCGGCCATGTCGTGAGGTTTCTCACCCAGCTGCGGACGTGGCGCGTTGCCGGAAAATCCCCGGAGCCCCATCTGTCGGTACTGACAGCGTCGGTAGGTGTAGCCTGCCTCCCTACAGTGGTAGCAAGCAGGCTGTTGTCAGGGGCAAGCCAAACGTTCGTTTTCCTTGGTGTGAGGCGCTGGCCAAGAGGAAAACGGTAGGGCACCGGTGATGGTGGCAGTGGCAGCGTCTGGCGCTAAAAGTTCGGCGGAGGGGCATCTTGGTGCAGGCGTGGAGGGGGGATGTAGCGTCGAGCAGCAGCAGCTTCGCTCATTGCTTGCGGCTGAGGCTGCGGTTCTTCGGAAACTCCAAGCGATCGCCGAACTTCTTTGCGGACAATGTCGGCAATCGAGTCTACTTGAGATTGGATGAAGGCAGCAGCTTCCGTAGCTCCTACCGCAGTTTCGCGTATGTCGTCGGAGCCAAGAGCGCGAACAGCTGCGCCGTCTTGCATCAATCGACGATCATACTGCCGGGTACACATTTCCAGAGTCTTCTCGATGGTCGTAGCCTCCGAGACAAACTCTTGAACTGATTTGGGTGGGTTTCGCAACGGCCCAGAGAAAAGGTCTTGCCTTACTTCTCGCATGAGCAAACAGACCTTCTTATCCTCGGTCATGTCAGGGTCAGTGAGTCGGAACAGGCGAATAATTTTTTCTGTGAAGATTGTGACGCTTTCGTTTGGAAGCTGCGCCCGTCTTTCCAGCACAGCTGCGGTCTTTTCTTTTCGTGCAACGCTTGTGAACATTTTCAAGAATGTGCCACAGGACAGGTCCCAGGTTTGAAGTGATGACTCATGGTTTTCAAACCAGATCCTCGCCGCGTCTTCCAAGTAAAAGTAGACACGGCGCAGCTTTTCTTCCAAGTCTCACTGGTTCAAGGCAGCCACTCGGTCATATGTTTCCAGCCAGGTCTTCGCTTCTGATGAACCATGGAATGTCGGTGGCTCTCTCGGCTGCTGCATTACGACCGTTGCGGGCTTTGGTACAGGGGCAGTCATAGTGGTCACTGTAGTAGTGGTGGCCTTGGGCTTGAGAATGTCATCAGGTAGAGCCCCGTACTCTTGATGTAGTTCTCGCTGCCTGCGGCTAGCTCGCTGATCGAGGTTGGCTTCAGCGTCCTCTTCACGGCGTGGGCTTGGCTCACGGCTGGAGGAGGGCGTTCGGTACATGGGCCGGCATTCACCTCCACCAGATTTCACAGAGCCGTGAGCTGACAAAGGTAGAGACGACTTGTGCAAATGAAAGTGTTTATTTAATTGGCCGAACTTGTGGTCATGTAAAAGTCAGATTACAGCAAGACTTTAGCACTGATATTGGCAGCCAAAGCCATCGATAAACTGACAAGCGGCGAAGCGTGTTGGCATTTATACACTTGCCATCGAACACTCTAGCGTTATTGCTAGTGGCGACGTAGGTTCCAGAATAATCTGAAAGGTTCACGAGGTGGACGTAATCTTAACAAAACAATCTACTACAGCCTTGAAGCTTCTCTAACACTGTAGGCACGGTTTGCGCTGGACATAGTGTAACGGGGCGATAACAAAACTTGAGGAAAGGAATAAGATATTGCCATCAATGTTTATTATACAAAGTTTAAAACACGGTAACTGGTGAGAAACACAATAAGAAGCTTTAGAGAAGTCTAAAAATACACAATCAACAACAAGCCACAGAAAAGTCATGTGTGAACGAAACCAGTGGTGTTTCACAATAAAATGGCTACAAAAGCTATATTGAGTGGGAAATGAGAATGGATTTGTATCTAGTGCGACGTGATTTATTCACGTACAACTGTACTAGAAGGCCGAGGAATGCCAGCAGGCCAAAATCCAAGCAAGTGCAAGCTAGGGTCACGCAAGTGTATCTTACTATTCTTCAGCTTACCAGTCTCTTCTCATCATTACACATTGAATATTTGAAGTTTCGTTATACCTTAATTAACTCCCCACAATTCCTCCTACTCAGTGAATACATATCACCCGCAAGACGAACAACTACCCGAAATTACCATCAGCTGAACATGTCTACTTTTTTCCATCAAACAGTGGTGTTTACATCCACAGTTTTTTTTTTGTTCATTCAATATAATTGTGGAAAGCTCTGCCTGGTTATGTTTGATCCTCATCACTTTCTGACTTCTTATTGTACATTACTAATCACCGATGTTCATCAAACTTTATTATACTTTTTTATGTGCTGTATGTGCCCTGCTGTGATGATTCTTTATATATTATATTTGCCCACTCTTGCGATAGCCCTTAGGAGCTGCAGTATGTTGAAATAAATAAATATAATAAATGTTTGCAAGCTGGCCAAGAATGGCATTATCACAAATCATTTTTAGTCTTTGCTGTTAAAATCTTGCTTTCCCACAGATCATAATGCGTTTCACAAACAGGTGGATTGATTGCAGCACGCAGGATACTTGTTGTGCGTGACGTGGGTGCGCGAATATTCAAAATTTTGAATATTTTTCTAATAGTGTTTGCTATTCCATTTGATGCACGTGGTAATTCTACCATTCGAACAATTGGAACTCTCCAAAGACAAATACTGTGAGCTTTGATTGACAGTAACCCCCTTTCATATTTTTATTATGCTTCACCTCACCACATTCTCGTATTGCGGCAAAGCTGTTGTTGAAGCTCCCCTACAATTGCAAATGTACAAACTCGAGGAAACACTAATTCCAACATAGATATGATGAATATTCCAGAGGTGGGTGCTAAATTAGTGCTGCTTTAGACCTGATATTTGGGCAGGAAGTCTGATGGATGCCAAAAATTTTTAGCTGCATCAGTTGGGTTTCCAACTGATGCAGCTAAATGCAGATGTTGAAAGAGGGGGAGAAGCTGAGAATATGGCATCTTTGTCTTTCATATGAGGAGTGTTGCCGGCAACACTTTGATTTCGCTGAATCAAGTACTAATAATTTTTTAGCTCTGCATTGCCTCATTCTTGATAAGACAACTATGAAACACCATTACGCGAGAGTTCAATCAACCTAGCGAAAAGAAACACTTTGATGTTGGTATATCTTATAAGAATATGCTTAGGAACACTGTCAACATTTTTCTTTTTTTGCCACAATTTTGCTTCAAACAATGTATTAGAAGATACATAAATATTGTGGGGCTGGTATCACCCTCTTTAGTGTCATTTGTGCCTCATGGCATGTGTCTCGTGAATAGGCCGCATTTATGGTTCACAACGATCAAGCTGTAGGTGGCACAGTGCTTGTGGAGGGTTCACCATAATTATTGTTAGCACCAGCAGTGACGGCTAGCGTCCCAGCAGCACACGAAACATGCCTTCGGTGCCTGGTGGCTGAGGTGAGAGGTTGTTTCCTGACAGGGTCCCACAGCATGTGGCAACTGCCAGCCGCTGTCGTGGGTCTCTCGTGGTGCATCGAACATCAGCGAGGCTGTCTTCGCGTTCCTTTGTGTTTGTTATATTGATTGAGTGTATTGGAATATTTTACAAAGTTGTTTTAGCGTAGCGTACAGTAGACTCGCAATAATTCAAACTATGATAATTCATACTTTCGGTTAATTCAAACAAAATTCAATTTTTTAGTTGGCCCTCTATTTTTTCAATGTATTTAAAAACCTTTGAATTCAAACTCCATCGTCCGGTTAATTCATACTTTTTGCAGTTTCATACCAGAAAATATCTGATGCTTTCTCACCACTATTTAAAAATTTGTGTGCTTATATATTCCTAACAGTCTAAAAATAAAAAGAGGTGCCGCAGGCCTTCAATAAAAAAACGCTAGCCTCGTAAGCAAATGTTTGAAACAAAGCACACGCATGGTGAACCGTGACGCTTCTGTGAAGTGGTATAGAGAGCTTTGTGCTAAAGGAACATATAGCAAAGAAGCAGTTGGCAATTCACATTTTCTTTAAAAGGTCTTATCAGCAGTATAAGGCCGATAAGCTTGTGAACTTTACCCCTCTGCTTTCTGTTCATTGCATACCATTGGGTTTAAAATCGCTTAAAAAATTTTAATTCTCATAAAATCAATGCTTAATCATAATGCGTGGCATCACCTCACCCACAGTCATATAGTATCTGAAAACTTCTGATGATTCAAATGTGTTGATAATTGAAACAAAATTCAGAGGTCCCCTCAAGTTTCAATTAATGAGAGTCGACTGTATTTGATTCAACTGGCGATATCGTTGACATAAAAGTAATAGCATAAATATACACAATGTTTGGTTTGCTTTGACAGCATCTGCTGTCGTCGTGTGTTCCGAGAGTAGCGTTCTCAATTTGAGACGCCACAATATTCAAGAAATATTCTAAAAATATTCTACTTGCAGTCATGCTTCAATAGACTTAAACCTCGATACAACGAAGCCGGATATAACAAAGCACTGGTTATAAAAAAGTAAATAAAAAATAGCCTTGCAATTTCTAACGAAGTAAATAAAAAATAACCTTGCAATAGATATAGTTTAGGGATAAACCTTTATAGCGAATTTTCTGATATAAGGAACTTATTTTCCTGTAAGATGCGACTTTGTTAAAATGAGGTTTGAGTCTATTCGAATTCACTTTGCAGTCAAGTTTTTGCTATTCACACAGCTTTATTAAACAAGGAAAGGAACCTTTTTTGGAGAATGATGGATAGAATGATCTAGCTTGAAAGAAGTATTGATCCGTTACATGCACGGGATCTCACAGAGTAAAAAAAGGTTGCTGGAAGTTTTGTGGTAACTAGGCTGAGCATTGGTGCAACAGACTCACGAGGTCGGTGGAGACGAGGATGCGGCAGCGATAGGCTTTCAGGCACACAAGGGCCTTGATGCGCTCGGACTGTGTCAGGGCTCCACTGAGCAGCAGCGCCCTGTGGCCTGCGTGTCGAAGTTTCTCCTCCAGAGACTGCGCTCTTCAGAGAGAGAGAGAGAGAGAAAGAATGAGTGTGCGCACATGATCTCAATATTAAAACATCTCATGGGGCAATGAATGACCTGAAAAACTGTTACCAATAGAGGCACACTATCAAGCCATCACTGAAGCTTAGCAGCTTAGGTGTTTAAAAAGAAGCAATAAAGAAACCTTTCAACAGCTTTTTTAGAGAACAGCTCTTAGGCACTCATTGGCATTGATGGCATAGCCAATAGACATAAGAAATACAATGAGAAAAACAAATATATACCCAGGATCAAATGAAATTTGGAACCCAACTTTCTGCACGGCAGTCAAGTATTCTACACTGGTACTTCAAACTCCATTGCATAAAGACCCTATACAGGTGCCATGTTGGGCAAGGAATTGTGTTAACTTATATAATATAGCATAGTAGAAGAGTAAAATAGCAACCAGTCATCACACAATGTTAATAGCACAACGAGTGTGAAGTTTAGAGCTTGCCACCCTCTGTAAAGTTTTCGACGTCGACGTACATAGCCAGCGCGTTGGCGATTGTCTTGTTTAATTGCTCAGTGAGGCCGTTGGTCTGTGCATGGTAAGCTATTGTCCAGCGGCACTTGTCTGACTCTCTGCCAAGATCGCTTGAGTCAAATCCACAGTGAAGCCCGTACCTCTGTCAGTAATGAGGATCTCTGGGGCACCGTGACACAGGACAATGTTCTCCACGAAGAACTTTTCTACCTCGGGGACACTGCCTACGGGCAGCGCCTTTGTCTTGGCGTAGCGGGTGAAGTAGTCAGTCAGTAGAAGAGGCATAGCCAACAAGGAGTGGCACACCGAACATGCGCCCCCCCCCCCCCCCCCAATATTTTTTTCGCCTTGGCAAAGAGAGCCTAAATTAACCATTCCAAAAGAGTGCCCCCCCCCCCCCCTCGAAATTTTTGGCTACTCCCCTGTACAGAAGCTACGACGATCCACTTGTTTTTGGAATACGACGTCTGGAAAGGTCCGTGTAGGTCCTTGCTAATTTGCTGGAATGACCGCCGGAGTGGAACGATGGGCTGCGGAAGTCTAGATGGCTTAGTTGGAAGTATCTTCCATCACTGAGAGTCTCGGCAGGTTTTTACGTAGTCGGTGACGTCGGCACTGAGGCAAGACCAGTAGTACTTTTCCTGTATCCTCCCTAGCGCACGAAATATCCTAATGTGTACAGTCACCGGGTCGTCATGCAGAGCATCCAGAACTTATGTATGTAACACCGAAGATACTACGATGAGTTAGTTAGCCCGACCTGGCGAGAAGTTTTTCTTGACGAGGACACCGTTACGCAAGAAAAACTGATGCCAGTCCTCGCTTGAATACCTATGGAACAACGGCAGCCTTGCCTCCGAGGTATTCCACAAGGCTCCTGATTTCAAGGTCGGCATGTTGTCATTCTGCAAGATCATTGACCCTTAAGGTTTCAAGGAAGCTACCGCGGTCCTTGTTGTCCTGCGGCGGTAGGTCAACGAGGGCGCGGGACAGGCAGTCTACATCAGAGTGCCTTCGCCCTGACTTGTAAACGACGATGATATTGAATTTCTGAAGCCCCAGACTCTACCCTGCGAGGTGACCTGAAGTGTCCTTCAAGTTAGGTAGTCAACAGAGGGCATGGTGGTCGCTCACAACTTTGCAAGGCCTGCTGTAAAGGTAGGGACGAAACTTGGAGGTAGCCCAAATGACAGCAAGACACTCCTTTTCTATTGTGGTCGCCTTAGATAGCGATCGCCTTGCATAAATAACTGTTGACCCTTTCAAGTCTGTCAGTATCCTGCACTAAGATGGCTTCGAGCCCTATACTGCTAGTGTTGGTGTGGATTTCCATGTCGGTATCTTCGTCAAAATGAGCAAGTATCAACGGTGTCTAAAGGCGTCGTTTTAGTACTTGAAAAGCTTTCTCGTGCGGTGTTTCCCACGTGAACTCGACATCAGTTTTTGTAAGGTTAATGAGTGGCTCGGCAGTATGGGCAAGATTTTTGACAAAACACCTGTGATAGATGCACAGGCGATGGCTGTTTTCTTCTGTGGGTCGGGGCATACTCCGAATTTGCTGATCACGTATCCCAACAACAAGAGTTCCTTGTATACAAAGTGGAATTTTTTTGGCTTCGGAGTGAGCCCGGAGGCCTTGATTGCTTGAAATACAACTTCAAGGCACTGGGGATGCTCGTTGAAGCTTGAGGAAAACCAAAAAAATTTGTCCAAGTACACCAGGCAAGTCTGCCACTTTAATCCAGCCAGCACGGCATCCATAACGCGCCGAAACTTCGCAGGCGCCGAGCAAAGACCAATGAGCATGACCTTGAACTGGAAGAAGCCCTCTGGTGCAATGAAGGCAGTCTTTTTTCGGTCTCGCTTGTCTACTTCAATTTGCCAGTAGCCTGTCTTGAGGCCCATCGATGAAAAGTATGTCACGTAGTGGAATCGATCAAGGGCGTCATCTATTTGGGGAAGAGGATATATGTCCTTCTTTGTGACCTTTTTGAGATGCCGATATTAAATGCAGAAGCATTGTACTCTCTCCTTTTTATTCCCTAACACCACCAGTGACGCCCATGGACTCTTTGAAAGTTGAATAATGTCGGCGCATAGCATTTTATCGACTTCTTTCTTTATAGCCTCACGTTCTCGCGTCAAAGCTCTGTACAGGCTCTGATGAAGTGTCCTGACATTTTCTTCTGTTACGATTCGATGTTTGCAACAGGGGTCTATCAAATTCTTGACGACGACAAAAAGCAGTTCTTGTATTTCAAAAGCAGGTTTCTTAGCTGTGCTTGTTTATGCGCCAAAAGACTCTGATTAATGTCGAAAGCTGCTTGAAGGATTAGAGTCATCAAAGTAGATTCGGCAGAATTGGTGAGGGCAAAAGTGTTGCTGGCTTCCAGTATTTCTTCCATGTAGGCAACCGTCGTGCCTTTACTGATGTGCTCGTACTCATTGCTGAAATTCATGAGCATCACTGCTCTCTTCCTCTCAGCAGCTTGGCGATTCCTCTTGCGATGCAAATATTGCGGTTGACCAACAGGTGCTGATTGCCTGCAATGACGCCTTCGAAGTCTTCTGGTTTCGGAGTGCGGACGGAAATGATGACACTTGAGCGAGGCTGAATGGTGACTTGTTCTTCCAGCACATTCGAAGCGTGGCTTCCTGGCAGCATGCACAGCGGTAACGCTTTCTCTGTGGATAGTGTTATCGACATTGTTCTCAGGTCGATGACGGCACTATGACGGCTTAAGAAGTCCATACCAAGGATGACATCTCTCGAGCAGTGCTGTAGCACGATGAAGCTTGTGGGATAAATCTGAATGTTAATGGTGATTCTGGCTGTGCAGATTCCTGCCAGCGTAACTAGGCAACCTCAAGCTGTGCGGATTTCGGCACTTCCTTGGCGGTCAAAACTTTCTTCAACTTCGCAACGAACATTCCACTAATGACGGAATCGTCTTAACAGAATGATCTACAATAATTGCAAACCTTCTCGAACAATGAGGTGCGGTTTGGACTGAGCATTGCTGACCCAGGCTTTGTGGACGAAAATGGAATCAAACAAAAGTAAAATAAATAACGCGCATAGCAATATACACTACAGTGAAAAAACTCTTTGATATGTACCTGCTGGGAACGGCGGCACAGCTATGCATAAACGTACTATACACATTAACCACCAGCTACAAATTTGTATTTCCTGACGTATGCCATTGCCACCAACAAAGGAATGCAGTGCAATACCATAAAGCCATTTCTCCTTATTTGACAATGGGGAGAAAGCATTGTTACTCTCCCACAATCGTCCAATAGCACGTGGTGGCGATGCCAAGGAAAATTTTGAAACTACTGCAGGGTCCAGGATGTGCAGCGTGGTACTTATAGTGACAGAACGGACATAATTGACTGTCTGAGATATATGGTTTCCGTGGTCTGCTTCTAAAAAAAAAACTGATGCAATTTTTTAAAATGTGGTATAGTCGCAGAGAGCCAAATTGTCCACTAGTTAGTTGCATGCAGCACTTAGCCTAGTCAGCCCACTCCAAGACTATTGATCCGTTTGCTATAGAATACGCCCACTCTGTCTCAGACCATGAAGAGACGAGGCGACTAGCCTGTTGGGATAACACGGCGTTGACAAGCTTTCTGCAAGCGATGCACACTTCGTGATGGTCCATCAGTCCTACCAGCAAATAGATGCGCCTTTGGGCTGCCGCTTAAATAAAGCGTGCAGTTTGGTTACAACAATACTGCGCTTGTTGTACCGCACGAGTGTTAGCCTCAATACAGCAAGGTTTTTTTATGCCCAAAACCCGCTATGTTTAACTCTGCAACAACGAACTGCTTTCATTTCTGGAAAATGATGCACGCCTATTAAAAGTGTGCAGTTAGCTTAAAGCGGTGCAACGCCACATGCATTCCCAAGCAAATAGCTGGGAATGCTTCCTGTGATAAGGCTTTTCGTGAGCGGTAAGTCGTAACAGAGCATTTGTCAGTGGTCACCACTTTGGCTTCGTTCTTTTTTTATGATTATCTACAAAAACATCACCGCACTTTCTGCATAAGTAGAAATAATTCATTGACTAACCTCCGCACTTATCAAAATGACAAAAAACCAGTTGCAGCACATTATGGCGTCTGCAAGTTCAGGGGTGCAGTAAACATTTATGGCACCAAATGTCATTGCGGTACACAGTTGGTACACACTAACTGGCAGGCATATTTCAAACCACTACGGCTTAAGCGGTTCGCAAATGAATTAGTCTCGATAAGACTCAGTCAGGAATTCGCTGACGCCACCTAGGATTACTACAACAAAAGTACATTTGCCAATGAAAAGGTAGTTTCCTTTTTTTGTTCTAAATTTTGAAGGAGGGGGATGGCACATCTGCGCATGCGCCTGCAAGCGCAAGAACAACGGAAAGGCAAAAACGTCAGCTTGAGCGGTGCAGGCCCGCCTGCCCGCCTTGTGCACACCCGCGCGCAATAACT